CAGGAAGGCCTGGCGCGATAAGGTTCATGGGGTCACGAAGAGTCGGACACGACTTAACGACTGAACAACAACAACAAAGACATTCACATCCATGACAGTCTGGTGTATGTTGTGCTACGGTGTTAGAACTGGCAATTTTTAAAACAAATCAACCTCAGGACCTGCAGCCTTTCTGTGTTTCCCATCTACAACCAAGAAGCATCTAGAGGGGCTGTTTCAACTAGAGAAACTGCATAACGTGAATTCTTCTTTTTCCTCCTGATGTATAGGAATGAGAAATATCCAGCCCGCGAGCCAAATACTGCTTACAGGTTGCTGCTTCCAGTTTTACTCCAGATGGTTACTAGAAGAATCATCATAAAGCCAGAGCACCTTGTTTTGTTTTACACTATGTGATTGTTTTGTGTTTCTTCATTGCTTTTACATTATTTTCTTTGTTATCTATTTTGATATTCAGAAGTTGCAAGGATCTTTGGAGGTTGCATATGGTCAGGCTGATGAAGCAGAGAGTTCAGAAGAAGTGTTTGAGAAGTTCTTTGAGTGGAAGAATGCTCGGTTGGAGGAATTCAGTCGGGTTAGGAATGCTACAGATGCTTCCTTGCAAAATCTTGTAATAAGTTTCAGCAAGATAATTCAGGTAAAAAAGATTTTGTATTATCTTAAGTATAAAAAAAAGCTTTGCATTCAGATTATGACTTGGGGCTAAACTATAGTTATATCAGAGCTCTGTTTGGAGGTCCTGGTCTAATTTTTTTCTAGATATTTTGGATCAGGTAAGTTCGCAGCTTTTCTGCACTGTAGCTAATAGAGACTTGGGAGGAATCTCATTTAAGGCAGTAGAATGAAGAAAAACACCCAACTTCTTTTTTTGCTATATTATAGTTGAATCCAAACAAGGAGATGATGGTTGCTTTTGCAAAAATTACATTGGAAGATCCAGAATTGAATACTTCATCCTATGAAATAACCATTACTATTTGAACTGAGAATTCTTGGACAAAAATGAGAATTTTCTTGTAGTGGTCCTTAGGAAGAAATTAGTATCATGTCTTAATTTAAAACAACAGCTGGGCTGCATTCATGTCTTGGTGGGGAGTAATGTTCAGCTCTGATTAACAGTATGAAATGGAATCACGCTGATCCTTAAGTTGATTAAATGAATGAACAGCATTTCATGAGGTTTGGTCTCTATTTTAGAGGAAATTGAGGCATTTCAGCTCCTGTTCCATTGGCCTGGAAACATGATGCAGACCAAACACATCAAGGGGAAAGCAGGATCCAGTTCTCAGAGGCAGATCATGTTTTATTGAGTCTCCTGCCATTTGAGCTATACCTTATTCTTACAAGTACCAGTTAACAAAGCAACCAGAATACAGTTCCCCTCTTGTCCTTAGAAGTGAATAAGTGTGCTACAGCTGTAACATAGCACTTTTGGAAGTTTCTCTGATCCATGGGATCTCATGTTGATAGGACCTTTTTCTTGGTTGTAAAAAAGCAAATTAGAACTTAAGGTGATAGAGGTGGATTAATCAAGTAAAACTTCCTCAACTTGAGTGTTGACAGGCTGCATTGGAGTGTGATGGCTTTAGGTGCAAGCCTGTGTTATAGTAATCTTTGGAGGATTTGGCTATTTCTTCTTTTGCTTACTTGCTCAAAAAAATAGAGATTGCTCAAGGCAGAACGGAACCAAGTTTAACATCAGCAGTTTTCTCATTCAGTATTAACTTTTTGAGTAATCTTTCTGGAATTACTTTGCAGAGTTGATTCATATTAGTAGAGATAACCACCTTTTGTCTTTTTTCCCATCAAGTTTTTTGACATGGCATCAGCTGTATTATTGAAATCAGAGGATGTAGCTGGCAATATAGATGAAGTTCTTAAGAATGTTGAGTTTGATATTTCACAAGAATTGGACATGTTTCTAACAGTAAGCTAATTTTTCTATATTTTTCTTTTCACGTAAAAATACTCTGCTATTTCATGTTAAAAGGTTTCATGTTTTTCAGATAGGATATATCTTGCTTGAAACTCTCCATGAAATGTAAGTATGAGCAGTGTCCAAGATTTACTATCACCATCAGAGTTTTCTCCATATCATATTTTACTGTGAAGAAACTGAGTAGTCACAGGTCCAAAGGATGGAAGGTGACAGCTGGTGGCCTGCAGGCTGATTAAACCTTGAGCAGTGGCAGAGCTTGCAACTATCTCCTAAGTCCTCTGATCCCTGGTCTGTGTGAGGTACAATCTCAGCTGAAAGAAACATAAGGATTGGTATCCATTTAGTTCTCAAACAGGGAATGGAAAGAACCAGGCAGGCTAGGGACATGTCCTCCATTCTGGATTCCATTTTCAAGAAGGCACGCAAGGTTTTTTGATTGCCAACTTGACCAAAATAGTTCTTAGTCAGATTTAAAAAAAAAAAAAAAACCTCTTTTGCCCAGTTTTTTTAAAATGAGATCTGATTTCAGATAGTTGTCAGCCCTTCAAGGTCATTCAGACAAGAAACCAAAACCATGAATACTACCTTTATTGAAAGGTTACAAGAGAATCTTGCAAGTCTGAAAGCAATTCTCCCCTTTACTTTCCAGAGAACTAGGGAGAGTCCCTTCTGAGATGCTTTCTCTACTCCCATGCCTTCTGTGAACTGAGATATCTCTTGTCTGACAATAGTCTAGGCTGTGGCTCCTCCTTCTCCTGTCTCCCAAGGTTATTTTCACAGCCCATTACAATAGCTGTTTCCAGACAGTATGTCTGCCACATGATTTACTGCTTCCCAATCATGGACTGAATATTTGTGTATCATGAGGCGCCATATAGGAGTTATGCAGTGATTCAGTTTTTTTTTTAAGTTTTTTATTTTTTACAGCAAACACAAACATACATAAACAAACAAGAAC